AAATATAACTCGTATATAATGCTGAGATATTTGCAAAACTCCGGACCGCAGGTGTATGCGGTGGGGAACGAACGCGCCCCGGTAAGGACAATAGCGCGCGTTCGTTCCCCACCGCATACACCTGCGGTCCGGAGTTTTGCAAATATCTCAGCATTATATACGAGTTATATTTTCATTATACTTTAAGTAATAGAATATTTCGATGCAAAAATGTGACTCGGATTTTCTGTTTCTAACCCATCTCCCCGTACCCTCTGAGAGGCCTAGCCATGACAACTGTAAATATTATCAATTTTTTTAATTTTTTCCTATTTGACACGTCTTCACGTCAACTGTGCGGATTCTAGCACTTCTCACATTCAATTCGTTTTCTCGCACCCATCATGCACAAAGATCTTCCAACTTTACGTGTGGCTTCTCTTGCTGGTCGAGGATTTTAATTTCATCTCGAATTTCGTAGAATGCTGGTTTAGCAGTTCTCCCTAGAGCCCTGAGATAGTCAGGCTAAAGCGTTCCCAATTGGATTGCAGAATCCGGCGGGATGAGGGGCTTAGTTGGCCCGGGGTAGAGTCGAACCAGCACCATGCTCGTGATGACGGGCATCACTACCACTGTGCTGTCCGTTCCCTCTTATCACATTATTTTTTCTATAAAGAGATTCAGTTTTCTATTTATGTCCACAGAATATGTTTATGTTCTAATAAAAAGTTGGTGGCAGTCACTGCAAAACAATACTTATAGCGCAGTGCCACAGTGACATGACTAGAACCCAGCACTTCTTTTCACTCGGTCCTCTTTCTCGCATCCGTCGTCGGCAAAGCTTTTTGAATCCGCTTGTAAGGTCAGCTAGTGCCTGAGTTTTTTCAGTCTTATTTATACATTTCGTTGGTTGCTGATCGACTGGATACCGCTTTCAACACTGGAACCTCTACGAGGACGTGCTCGGCTCAAAAAACCATATTTTCTCATATTTTCCACTCGAGGTTAGTTTCTGGAAAAACAAAGTAACTAAACAAGATGGATTTTGCTACATGGTGTCTTCCAATGTGTCTTTCACATTTGCGACTGTGGTGATTTCATTGAAACATTACAAATATAAACTCCACTTTCAATCGTTTATAAATTTTGATTTCACCCTAGGCTTAGAAATGGAAGAACATTCTACCAAATCAATTATTCCCTTGCAGCGAGATCGCTAACCCTTTTCCATAACTCTGTGAAGTTCCCAATTCTACAATCCCTATCATTATTGGAATGCCGTCAGGAATTATTGGAAAACCAGAATCGGAACGTACATGTTAATCTCCGCATTGATTTATCGTCTCATCATGGCCCGATGTGTGGATGGAACTGTACTCTTCATCAAATCCGCTCACCAAATCTGTTGGTGAATTCGAAGTTTTCGCTGGAAAACCTTGGCAGGAGTAACTCAAAGCGAAACAAATTAATGTTTTCTTCTTCAGCAGGCACGATGTTATTGATAAAATCTTTATCCAATACTGGCCTACATTTCGGCGCTCTCTTCAGAGCATGAAAAGGTCAAATTGGCATGCCATCCGCTCTTTCAAACAATTTCCTGACTCAGACAGAACGCCTAAATTTGAATAGCATGTAAACAGCTCTTTTTAAAACGCTCACTATGGTGTTGTGTATAAGTCTTCCAGTTATTGCTTGAAGATCAACCGCACAGAGTCTTAAATTTGTGAGTGTGTGCCGCGCTTCGGTCAAGAAATCAGCGTGAGGTATGGAGCAAGGTAACGCCTGATCAAAAGAAACTCCACCTCGTGGTTCATTTTTGGATTTCTGGAATTTATCCAAAACATTTTAATTCTACACGCACATTCTCAATATTACCTTACAAGGATAGCGACCGTTATTTCAAAATTTTCTCCACTTTGGTTTTGGATCGAACAACTGCCCAGTTATAGCCAAAAATTGCTATTCTTTGAAAGAAACTTCGTTATCAGATGGGTAACTTTGCAACGATCAGCAAAGGCAAGCGGTCAGCCATAGTGAGGATTAGCTCGCAATGTTTTATAGCCCCGGGAAAAAAACCTTTTCAGAATGGTGAAGTACCAATCGAATAGCGACTTTATCGGTACAAGCACGATTCGGTACTTTTCAAGAATGACCCTCCAAATAAAATGTACTTGTGTTTTATTTTTCATTTTACTTTGTATGACCTGTCTTTATGTCTACCATGTGCATCCCATCACTTTTCACAATTTACTTGTTTCCTCGCATCCATTGTCGAGGAATATCTTCCAACTTTATCTGTGATTTCGGTTGCTGCTTCAGAATTTTCATTTTCTTGAATGTCGTAGAATACTGGTCTCTCCGGAGTCCTGAGATAGCCGAGCTGGAGCGTTCCCCATGCGGGATTGCAGAGAGTGATTCTTATTTCCCAGACAAATCTGATACCAATTTTCCGACCCCGGAGGGATGAGAGGCATTGTAAGATGTATAATCATGTGTTTTTCCTCATTTGTATATTACTACAGTCTTTGCAGGAAAAGATTTCCATGCTTTCAAAAATGTGCTAAATTCTTAAATATCTTCTAAAATACGAACGAAAACTTGCAAATATTCCTTCAACCACACAACTTACCCAATTTATCTCTAAAGTTGTTCTACAACCGTCAGCTAGATGGTTTCTTAGCACATAGTAATATAATAAAGCATTGGAACATCCATTCGTTCCTTCCACAGGTGGGAAAAATTTGAGAAAGTTTCTTGATGGAATAATTAGACAGAGGTTTAAAAGAAATACAATGCTTCACTTTACTACATACGGAAAGAAAGAAAGAGATGTATGATTGTGCACAAAAGGAATTAATCAGTGCAACATTATTTTCAACTCAACCACCATCGGCATTAACATCACCAAATCCCGAGTGCGAAGGGCTGTAGACCATCGACTCGCATGATGGGCTCTGAAGAAGACGAAGACGTCGAAGCATTAGCCGAGAAAACTTTTTTATCATAAGCAGATGATGTAAAAAAAAATAACTCCCATGTTTAGACGTTAACTGCGGAGTTTTTTGTACCACTATTTTGACGTTAATCTAGAAAGTATTTGACCGTCTTCGTCGTGCAGTAACAAGGACAGTATATTAAAAGAACTGCTTGAAACCTTCTTTTCTTGCAGATGGTCTTCAATACGGCCGCTATGGATAACACATCTCTTCACCTTCGTGTGAACGACGTTCCCACTTGGTCAGCGGCACTGACTTTCGGACTTCAGGTTCGTTCCGACTTTAAAACAAATCAAGGACCTTAAGAAGAAAGCTGAGAGTATAAAATAAAATGTATGTTACAGTTTCGTATATACGTTGTTACGAACCGCACCTTTTTATCCAACGCGACGTTGGTATAGATGTTCTTATTATTCTTGTTGTCTTTGTTCAGTGGCAGGGGTTTCGGCTACTTCGACTTCCTTAGAACCTTGCCGTTGGACCATTTGTATATTGTTGACGAGGGATGACCACTGAAACGTCAGCCATTAAACAAAGACAACAAGAACAATAAGAACATCTTTACCAACCTCGCGTCGGCTAAAAATGAGCAGTTTGTAAGAACATATATACAGATACATCGACTATCATGCCAAGGTTTATAAAAAGTCGATCTTATGTGCTACAGTTCCACGTTTTAAACAGTTAAGATTTGAGATCCACATTTTAAATGATTATCCGGACAAATTTTTATATTCATTAAGTATATAGCTCCAAAAGTAAGCATCGAATCCTTTCGCAACGACCCAGGAGGTTTGGTAACCAACTTCGGTTGCTGCTTGAGGATTTTCATATCTTTTTGAGTGTCGTATAATGATGGTCAGGCCATTCTCCCTAGAGTCCTGGGATAGCAGGGCTGGAACGTTCCAGTTGGATGGCAGAAAGTGTTTTTTTCCCAGAAAAGTTCTGTACCAATTTTCGGACCCCGGAGGGATGAGGGACTTGGTTGGGCCGTAGTGGAATTGAACTACCACCATGCTCGTGATGACGAAAGTCACTACCACTGTGCTATCCGCCCCATAAACATAAAAACAATAAGTCGACTTTGAAGCAGTGATTAATTTCACTTTTTTCTCTTTTGTCACTTTGCGGTTCATCAGTGGTCTTTCTTAAATCAAATTGGTACAAAAAACTACTTCCAGCGCATTTTAATAAAGATATCGATAAGAAAATGCAGGGTTATTCTCAGAATGGTTAATGTTTCGGAGATTTTGCTTTCCTCAAAACCGTGCTGTTGCGAGTGGGACTCAGGATCTTTACCATTTTCGATTTAATAATATTTGATTATTGTTGAAAGTTTTTAGCAAGCGATGTTATGCCTTTCTGGACTCCTCGTGTTTCCATTTCTTGTCGCCGAAGCGGTTTGTGCCGGAGACGCTACCGTACACCTACGAGTTCAGTTGATCGCGGCCACTTTTGTAAGCTGTGGTTTCGCCACTATCTTACAAACAACGTTCGGGTTACGGTAAGAGATTTACTGCGCATAAAAATGACAATAAAGAGAATCAATGCTTGTCCGTAGAAAAACATTTGTAACAACTTCATACGTTATCCAATAGTCTAGTGGCCAAGAATATGTAATGTTCCGCTTCTCTAAACGATATCAGTCCTGGTACAATTTCAACTTGATTCGTGCTTTTCTGGATCGGCAAATGATGTTCTCTATGAATTCTAGAAAGGCAAGATAAACCATATACTTGACACTTAACACTTGAATGGTCCGTCCTCATTGGTTGTGCTGGCCCCGGCATAATCTTTATTTTTCGCAGATTTGCTGGTTAAGCCAGTGTGGTTCCCTGGAATCCCGAGGTCAGGTTGGCCAAAGTCTGCTCAGGTCTTCACAATCGCAGGCAGTTGCAGCCCTTGTGGATCACAGGGAGATTTGCCACCATGCCACTTTGATACCAAGACGTTGGTGGATTCTGGTAAACCATATGTAAAATAAGAAAGTCAAGTACTTGAAGACTTGAACACCCCATGGTCGTCACGAATCACATAGATTCCGTCTGCGAAAACAAGATTTCCGTTTGACCGACAATTTGCTGCTGAAGTGAATTTTTCATTCCTTCCCAAACCACGAAATTCTTCATAAGTTGTTGCTATGACTTTGTCACTAGCCACTCGGCGCGGTAGTACGGCTGTGGTAGAAAACAGCATTCGCGCCTTGTCGAACTTTTTTTTTCTGTGGTTATGGTAGGAGGTCGATCGAAAACCTGTATTTTCGCGGTGCGGTTCTGACAACAATCCGATATTGTTCGTCTGCAGTACGAGTTCACTCCTTGCTCGACAGACGCTGATAGGATTGCATCCGTCTGGATCTTGCCAAACCCCTTAACATTGCCGACAGAGTCAAGACTAGAAAAAGCTGGTGGCAAACTTCTGTGACCCTAGGCACGGTCCGGATGTGGTCCATGTAGGAGAATTCATAGCGAAATCCTGCTTGACCCTTTGGTTTTACACCATTCAATGCCGGTTACCTCTTACTTAGATGTTATTCCTTTAATTGCTATCTTTTGCAATTAAATGGCATCCTTTTTCAAAAATTATAGATTATGCGTGCTTCACGGTCCGGCACTAGCGTTTCTGCCACCTCTTTTAGCTTATAAAGCGCTTCATTCAAGTGACTGTCTGTTCACAGAGGACGACACCGTCGATCCGAAGATTTGGAACAGTAGACTTCTCGAGGTAGGTAATCCATAGAAAGACTGGGCAGCCATTTTCATTTTTCTTTTATTTCTCAACCCATACATTGCCAATCTTATCATTCTCTGCTTTTTCGTACTACTGCCAAAGTACGACCACAACGTTGCTGAGATATTTGCAAAATACTGGACCGCAGGTGTCTATGGTAGAGATGGTGTCTATCTTTGCCGATTTGGGCGCCCCAGATCAATCCCGCTGACGGGTGATTGCTGTGGTAAAGATCGATAGAAATAGCTGAGAGACAGGTGAAACGAAGGACCCGCACGGTGTGGTGGTGAACGCGTTACTCCCCGGAAAGGACAACAGCGCGTTCATTCCCCACCAGAGACACCTGCGGTCCAGTGTTTTGCAAATATCTCAGCAACGTTGTGGTTGTATTTCGCTTAGTACCCTGCCGCGAAATTATAGTAGGCAGAAAATAAAAAGGTATAACATTACTATCAAAATACTTTATCCTTTATACTTTGTGCATACTTTTATAGTACTAATAAAATCTGTCAAGAAAATAAACTTTTACGTTATAAGTCCGTTCTCATTCTATTTTCGTTGTAGATCAAAAAGAGTAAAAAAAAATCCGAGAAATCAAAATCGGGATTTGAAAAGGTTATCGATCGGTAGGGGCGCGTGTGGCACAGTCGTCGGAGACGCCTTGCAACACACTTGGAATCGATCACCGTGCCCATGGCCCACCAAACCTTCCATCCCTCCGGGGTCGGCAAATTGGGACTAGGCTTGTCTGGAAGGATAGCAGCACTGGTTCGAAACATCGGTAGGCCACCGCGAGCCATTGTAAAGGTCAGATATGAATTCAATCACCTACTACAGTACTTAATGAAGTCGAATGCATGGCGTATCCCTCAAGGATTGAAAAAAGCCGAAAGCTTTTTTTTTATCGATCAGTACTGTTATCCATACCAATATGTTGTTTAGGAGATTTTAGTATTATAACACATTCATTACTATACTGTTTTCTTGATAACCACACATGAAGTTATCATTATATACTATTTATTCACAACAGCTAACTTTTCGGCAGATATCCCCATTTTGAGAGCCCGTTCACATCCACCGCTGTTCCTTTAGGTATCCGGAAGTTTATTCATTGCCTGTATTTCATTTCTGGTGATTGGTGGTACGGGATTGGCCGGTGTTGTGGCTAAATTGATTGGACCAATCACGATCGTTCCACTGATGATCTTACTCACAGCAAGCATTGTTCCAACAATTGAAAGTAAATTATCTCTTCATTGGATTTCGCTGGTGTGAGTTTTGTTTACTTCGACTTAACATATGGGATTGGTTCGTTCAAAATTTATAATTTCATCTGTTCAACAAGAAGGTAGGCTCTAAAAGTTCAAGTAAAAGCAGCTTTTGTTGATTGACTTTTGAGTTTTTCCCTAAGTGCAAGTTTAAGCGGTCTAAATGTCATAGTACTTTTTCTGACCCACTTGAGTCTTGGATAAGAAGAAACAATAAAAAAAAATTGGAAAAGACTGAAATAATGCCACAATAACTTTGACAACGACTGTCATTTAACCTCGGCAGCAAAATAATCAACATACGTTTATACTACTAGCCTTACACGAAGCTGATAAGGATGTTCATCCGGCTCGGCTAAAGTTACGACGGTTTCGTTTTCATCAGAGCCGATGGTCCACAAGTGTTCGTCTTTTCGAGGTGAACTCGTGTAGGCTCAGCAATATAAACAGAAGCCACAATAGTATGAACTTGAATAAAGTTTCTGCTAAAATGAGTTCATGGCTACTTTTACTAAAAATCAAAACCATTCTGTACAGAATTTTACCAGTTTACCTATGACTGCGGTAATTTTAAAATGAATTGAGCAAGCACCAGTGAAGTATATGGTCACTACTGCCTTACGTCGAGGCTGCTATATGATCCTCGTTCCCCTAAAGAAACAGTGACCATCAGACTCTCTTTCCATATGATCCTTAAGTTTTCCCATTTTCGGTAAGACTTCAGTTTGGTGAGTTTCTTGTAGATTTCTGGTGTACTACTTGGTAGCTACCAGCTCTCCTGAAGAAGAAGTGAAGCATGCCTACTATTCGCCACTTTCTCACACATTCTCTAGTAAATTGGTCATAGATTTTTGGAAAACATATTTGCAGGAAAACCCCTTTTCTTTGGTCTTCCTTCAACTTGTAGCAACTAAGACGTTCAGTTTATCGAAAGCTGTTTCCATTAGGAAAGATAGCGTATTTGACATGAACCTATTTCAATATTGCAACACTTGGGAAAATCACTTCTAATCCACAAAGGCGACCAGAAGTGAAGATCTGGGAACGCTTCGACTGTTCCAGAACTCCAAGGTAAATCAACTCAAAGAGCATTTAGCAGCGTCCATAAAAAAGCTAAAAATTCCCGGTACCACGAAATCAATAGAATGTAGGAAGCGCTCTGATCCGCACAGTAACTGACTTCACAAGATTTAAACAATGAGTGTGGTGAGAAAAAAATCTTAGCATCTTTCAAATCTCTTATTCACTATGAACTCATAAAAAAATAAACGCTAAAGTGTTCGGCGTTTATAAATCCTTGAAGAATGCGCAATGTCTTCGACTTCACCAAGCATCGTTATGGGTGATTGAATGCGTATCAAGGCTCTACAATGACTCGCGGTGGCTTACCGATGTATCGAGTCAGTGCTGAGATCCTCTCACAAAGGTCTAGCAGCGATTTGCAGACCCTGGAAGGATGGAAGGCCTGGTGTGCTTGGGAGTGGGATCGGATTCATGTATATTGCACAGCACCTGTGACCACTTCGCTACACGCACCCTATGAATTCATACTCTTAAAATATGTTCCTACTCACTGGCATGCTGCAAACGAAAAACTATCGACAATGTTTACGTATTGGTTGTGTCATTTAATTCTTTCGAAACTTTGCAAAAATTTAAGCTATCTTGAAGGCTGGCTCGGTCTTATGCCTCGGCGCTTCGTCGTAATAATCATAGCTTTTCATTATTATGTTTATTAAGAGGATATCCTGAATACGCAGCTTTTTTAATCTCTTATTTTCTTAGTCCGACGGGTTTGTTTTTCAGTATGCTTGCGTGTGTCGTGACTATGGCAGTCTACTTAGAGCACCTTCAAGTACCGATTCCTTATTATTCATTTAATAAAAAGCGAGTTATCACAGCGAAAATCCGACTTTTCGGGCAATTTCCAGTAAGTGTTTCTTTTCCGAATTCTAAGAATCACAGTGGATGCTTTTCCCTGTAAGAGCCTTTTTTGATTGCTAAAGCATCTTTGTTGTCATTTAATCCTAAATTTTTCTTAATCGTTTTACACAACCCGTCGTTCACATCTGTGTGGATCACAGCACTTCTTGCATTCAGTTCTTTCCCTCGCATTCATCATTCACGAAAGTGTACCAACATTGCACATGTGAATTTCGCTGGTTGAGGAACTTTCGTTTCGTTTCGTCTTCGTTATTAACGTCGCTCAGTGATCGTCGAGTCGATTCTACCCGACCCGCAGTCATGGGATAGCCTGGCTGGAGCGTTCCAAATTGGACCGCAACAAACGCGCAAGAAGCTAAACAGGAAGTCAATTGATCTTAGAAAAGTTGGACCCCAATTTTCCGACCTCGAATGGGTGGGCGACTTGGTGAACCTGGGCAGGGTCGAGGCAGTACCATGTTCGTGATAGATGCCATTACTACCACTGCGCTACCCACACCTCACCCACACCTATTTTAGCGGCAATAAAGTCCAAAACTCTTAACAAATCCCGCAATATTTCTACCTAATTCAATTGTTCAACAAAAATAAGCCAAGAACAGTCGCGTATGTTTCAATCCTCTAGCAATCTGAAGTTGGTCCTCTAGGAATAGTTGAAATTGGAAAAGTCTTCGAAAATTTGTTGAACAAACACTCAGATTAGTCTGAGTTGAAAGGTCTCAATCACCGTTGTCAGTTTCCCAGAGATGAGTTGCGAGATCATAAGCATAGAGCTCATAATTTACCTTTTCTATTATTTTCTATTTCTTCTACAAACTCTTTAATTCTAGCTCTTTAACGTATTATTTACTGCCTATTCTTTTTAACGGCAGGGTATACATTCTGAAATACAACTTCAATGATGCTGAGATATTTGCAAAACTCCGGAGCGCAGGTGTATGCGGTGGGGAACGAACACACGCTGTTGTCCTTACCGGGGAGCAGCGCACTTCACCACCACACCATCCGGGTCCTTCGTTTTGCCGGTTTCTCAGCTAGTTCTATCGATCTTTTGTTAAATTGTGAATATAACTGAGGCCTCAGCTTAGCTGGGTTCGTTGCCGATTTGGGCCCTCCAGATCAATCCCGGTGACGGGTGATTGCTGATGGCAAAAGATCGATAGAACTGGCTGAGAGACAGGCAAAACGAAGGACCCGGATGGTGTGGTGGTGAAGTGCGCTGCTCCCAGGTAAGGACAACAGCGCGTGTTCATTCCCCACCGCGTACACCTGCTAGCTCTTTGGTTTGTTACGGCTTTGTTTCCATTGGCTTCTGCCAATTACCGTACACTATCTCGTTCCTTTACAGTACCTAATGAGCATTTTGTTTGTGTGGTTCATTTGTTATCTGTTGACAATCACTGGAGCTGAACCTGTCGATGGACAAGCTCGAACTGATAGGAACATTACATTAATGGTGTTACGGGAATCGCCGTGGTTCCAGGTTCCTTATCCCGGTATGTTTCTTCTAATTTTCTACTTTTTTGACTGCATTCACCTAAATTTTTTTCCAGAAAAATCATTCTGGATATTTTGCTGACAAATTACACAACCAAACCCGTAATCTGCCATAGTTTTATTAATTCTCACTGTTCCACATCATAGAGCTTCCACACATTAAAACATTCATGCACAGTTGATTTTTTGTGTTTACACAATAATCTACAAGAAATACAGCGCTCTTTCATAAAAGAAATACTGTTTAATTAAATATTCTCAGGAGAAGAACTACTTTAGCAAATTCTCGAAGTTTTTTTGATTAAGATGTTTCGATATTCAAAGCCTACAAGGATGACTTTCACAAACTCATTCAGACTTATTATTTTCCAACTATCCAAACGTAATGGTCCTAGGTTTCCTTATGCACAGGTGACAGAAAGAAAATAAAGTACGCACTTGTGTTTCAGCGCTTCTTTCTTACTGATATGCCTTCTTGAAAATGGTAAGAAGTGAAAAAACACTTGTGTAGACGAATTATAGACCTCTTTGTTAATTGAAGATGTGAATGAAGGTGGACACAGAAGAAAGAACGAAAAGAATTTGTGAAGACGCCAAGAAGTAAAATGTTCTCATTATCAGTTGTTATAGGCAAATTCGGAATGCCACGATTCAATACGGGTTTGTGCCTTGGATTTGTTGCGTCGTGTCTTTCAAGTGTTATCGAGAATATTGGCTCATATACTTTGTTGGCTCGAGTCTCACGACAAAGGTCACCGCCAAAGAATACTGTGAATCGTGCCATTATGACTGAAGGTGAACGTTTGTACCATTTCAAGCCTATTATTTCAAGGTAGGATTCGGAGGAGCCCTGTAATTCCCATGTGATCGATCGTTGCGCCCAAGCATAATTAAGCCCTTCATCCTTCCGGAGTCGACAAATTGGCACCTGACTTGCTTTGGAGGACAGCAGCACTGGCTCGATACATCGGTAGGCCACTGCAAGTCATTGTATAAGCCAGATATCCATTCAATCACTTCCAGTGATGCTTAGTAAAGAAGAATGTATGGCGCATTCCTTAGGGAACAATCGGCACCGAGTGCTTTATCGTTAATCCTTTAAATATTAGCAATGAGAACGAAGTTCTTATTCTTTTTATTATTTTCACTGGGAGCCCAATTGCTGACTGGAACGAGGATGTTCTCTAACTAGAAGCCCTGAGTGAAAATTGTCACCTATGATTAGTTATTTTTGTGGCAACAACCTCTAGGGAAAAACTTTGTTGATTACCTACATGTCCCGAGGCAACAGTTTTCTTGGGGTGCAAATCTTAAAAATCTTCCTAAAACACTAGCGAATATCATCGCTTGGAATTCGTAGCCGATGATGAAGGATGATGGAGGACCGTGAGCAAAAGCTACAGAATGATCCCATACTAATAAAATCAACTGCTATCGACAAAGGTAGAGTTGATTGTTGCTCTTCGAGCCATGGAACGCAGGTAAAGAATTCCGTGTTGACTGGTACATTAGAGATGCCTGATGTGCCCAACATCATTCGTAACATCGCAAGGGTAAAACTATTTAGTTTATATTCTTTCTTTGATGAGCTTACACGAGGTTGATAATGATATTTATTTATTTTCGGCTAACGTTTCGACGTCTTCGTCTTCCTCAGAGCCGATGATCCGAGTCGATGGTCCATGCTTGTTGTTCGTCTCGACGTTGCAGCTTCGCCTTCGTGTCGAGTCAGG